AAACTGGTGGCAAGTGGCATCTTGGCAGCTGCACGCTTGACTTTTCTCAGTTCATGGGCAGTTAATTTGCGCCTTGGTTTATCCACACGCTTCTTTATCATAAATGAATATGCGACAAAACTGCCAGTGTGATGATACAAAAATCATTCTAATCCTCTTCTTTTTTTCAGTAAATATGTGTTCCATCCACTTGCCCTGTCCTAGAACAGATTGTATTTAGATAGATAGATAGATAGATAGATAGATAGATAGATAGATAGATAGATAGATAGATAGATAGATAGATAGATAGATAAAAATCTCTTTTATGTTCTTTTAGGTTTCCCGAGGCCTTAGCAACTGGAGTCATTGGATAAAAATTACACCATGAGATTTACAGATTTACAGAGTACACAGCTCTCTGTAAATGTCATACTGGGGTTGAAGTCATGATACACATTTAATACGCTATGAAATTTAATTGTTACCTTAATATTATTCTAATAAAGACAGATTTTTTTTTCAGTTTTCTGGAAACTCAATAAACCCCACAAGTGTGTGTAGACAGAATGCAAAAGCTGTTCTCCAGTCGGACTTTAGATAAAGGACTTCTCCATCATAAGGATTAGTGACATCTGACTTTTAATAATTATCAAATTACACACATTGTGTCCTTTAAACGTCCCCGGGTAGGCCGACTCTTGACTTCAGAAACATGGCGCACGAGTTGAACTTTAACCTCGGAAATTTATTCGGCCTCGTTTATCTGTTCGACCAACTGTAAATCCATCACTCAAGATTCTCGCGATAATTGCCCCGCATATATTAAGACAAATGGGGGTGCCTCGTCCACTTGGAGAAGCGTAGGGTTTCCTTGAGGATCTTGGCCACTTTTGGAAAAGTCAGAAGTCTCGGATCTCCACAAGAAACAACCAATCATGTCGGACGCGGTGACTAGTTTTATGAAAGACTTTTTGGCCGGTGGCATCGCCGCTGCCATCTCCAAAACAGCTGTCGCTCCCATTGAGAGAGTCAAGCTGTTGCTGCAGGTAAAATGACTGAACCAACTGCTGCCTCTGGCACGGTCGCATGTCTGCGTAAAGCGTGCGTAATTGTGGGGCTTCTGCGATAACTCAAACACAAAATGCAACACAAGAATTGTTTTTCAAGAAAGAAATGGCCCTTTGGACTCATTTGGTCTCGTGCGTAATGCCAGTGGGCACGTGAGGGGTCATGGATTGATGTGGAAATAGTTTTACGCGCCAAGTTACGCAGAATTCTTCTGGTGACAGTAAGGGTGGCAAGCCCTCCTTATAAGCGTTGCAGAAAAACGACCATAAGTAGCTAGTTCATCATGCTGTTTGTGCTTTTATTAAGTTAATTAATCCTTTATTATTACAGATGACCGCTGCAATAGTCAGTGAAAGTGGACTGCTAAATTTAACTTGAAGTGTGTAATCTAATACACAGTGAGGTCTCAAGTGACAGGAGTGTGCCTCTGCTGGGCCTACAACTACATGATGTCTGTCCAGAGAATATTAAACATAGTAGTCTAAGGTTATGTAAATACCAAAATGATGTATTTAAAATTAAAATTTTGCTCAAATATTGCATACTATTTAGAAAAAATGGTCCCTGTCGTGTCAAGGTTTACATTTACATGGAACTATGGCACATGTGTGTCCAATACAGAACTTTTATGCTTTGTTTGCAGGTCCAGCATGCCAGCAAGCAGATCACAGCAGAAACACAGTACAAGGGAATCATTGACTGTGTGGTTAGAATCCCCAAGGAACAGGGCTTCATTTCTTTCTGGAGAGGCAACCTGGCCAATGTCATCCGTTACTTCCCAACCCAAGCCCTCAACTTCGCCTTCAAAGACAAGTACAAGAAGATCTTCCTCGGTGGCGTGGATCAAAAAAAACAATTCTGGCGTTACTTCGCTGGCAACCTGGCATCTGGTGGTGCCGCTGGTGCGACTTCGCTCTGTTTCGTGTATCCTCTCGACTTCGCCAGAACGAGGCTGGCTGCAGACATCGGCAAGGGCACAGCAGAGAGAGAGTTCACTGGTCTTGGAAACTGTATTGCCAAGATCTTCAAAACCGATGGGCTCAAGGGTCTTTACCTCGGATTCAACGTGTCAGTGCAGGGTATTATTATCTACAGAGCGGCCTACTTTGGATGCTTCGACACGGCTAAAGGTGCGCACAGCTGTTACACTAGAATGTATTAACAGTGTACATGTGCATTTTACACGTGGGTGACTTAACTTGTGCTTCTTATAGGTATGCTGCCAGATCCCAAGAACACGCACATCATCGTCAGCTGGATGATCGCCCAAACCGTCACTGCTGTAGCTGGTCTCATCTCATACCCCTTCGATACAGTCAGACGTCGTATGATGATGCAGTCTGGACGCAAAGGAGGTGAAACCATGTTCGATTCGTTTGGCCCAGTTATTGCACAGTTATTAAGCATTCATGTGAGGGCATTATGCAACATTATTCATGTCCGTTGTCTTCTTCTCTTTTTATTTCCAAAGCTGACATCATGTACAAGGGCACAATTGACTGCTGGAAGAAAATCATCAAGGATGAGGGACCAAAAGCCTTCTTCAAAGGTGCCTGGTCTAACGTGATCAGAGGCATGGGTGGTGCCTTTGTGCTGGTGCTTTACGATGAGTTCAAGAAGTTTGCATACTAAACTTTCAACCAATCCCCAAGGAAACCCTTTACTTTGTTTAAGTCTTATTTCTGGTGATACAGTGATAACAGCTTGGTGAATTTACAGTGTGGGCGTCTACAGTATGACAGCCCAGGTAAGGAGGGTGGGTGAACCAAAAGTGTATATATCCCATCTAGGACATGCCAACAGGCAGTCGTTCAGTAAAAGTCAAGCAGGTGGAGATTTTGTGATGACGCACATGATGATGTCACTTCAGGTCATGCTTCCCATGTTAGTAAGTTTGTGAAGCAAGTTGAGGAGACCCATGTGTTATGCTGTGACCACTCTGATCCTCATAAATTATTTTATTAAGAATAAAAACGTATTATTCTAACAGTCCAGTCTTTTTGATGAATGCACTGTTGTCACAGTCTTGTTGGTTTTCAAATTAGATTTTCTGTTTAACTCCCCACATGGACACCAAGCCAACGTACACAATGCTTCAGAAGTGAAGCAGCAAAGTGCGACTTTTCAATGTATTATTTACACCCATTTTTTTCTGCTGTCCCATCAATTGTCTTCCATGATAAAAGCTAATAAATGCATCTTCCAGCAAGAATGATTTGAACAAAACAGCACAGTTTTAATTGGTGGGAAAACAGCTTTAGTTAACAGGAAACAGAATAAATATAAACAAGTAAACCTTTAAATAACTTAAAAACACAATTTTTTGTGTATCCCATTTAATCAAGCAATGTAAAAAAAAGGTTACATTTATAGTAACTGAAATTCAGTCATAATAAACAATTTGTACATTTATACCTTCAACAAAACAATATCTTCTGCTTGTGCAGCTAACTTCGGTACTGCGACACTGCTGTGGAAGCCACACATACCATATTTCAGATTCAAAGAAAATGTTTATAATGGATAAGCATGGTTACACGAAAATCACTGAAGAGTTGATTAAGCCAGATGAAAGTATGCTGAACACATTTACGTGACAAGAACCTTTGAGCTTTGTTCCTTTTTTAATATTTTGCGATGCAAAGATATCAACTGAATATGGATAACAGAAACCAGATTTTAGCAGATTAAATGTTAAACAGCGCTCTCAGCACCATGCTGCCCGCGCTGCACCTGGTTTTTTTGACCTGGGTGAAGGTCTGCTGCTGGAGTCAGTGGAGGGGACTGATGCCCTGGAGTTGACTGACCTGGGACCTGCTGAGTGGATAACAGAAACATGCTCTCTGATTACAGGCTTATCATTACAGTTTAATCATAAAATAGCACAACTTTAAAAACCATTATTACACTGCTAAGAAAATATGTACATATTTGAAATTGTATTTAAAAACAATCAGCACATGGCAAACAACATATACACACGTGTTTTATGACAGTTGGAATCTGTTATTGGTTAATTATTTCAAATGTTATTTTAACACCAGGAAGCAACAATGAAACACAAACATTAAAAAGACAAAAAGGTGTTAAGAGGAGAAACAGTTTGTCAGTTACTGAGCCATGAAATTCATTTCATAGCAGTGTTAAGAGCTGCTTCTTACAGTCTTCTCGTTCTCTTTAATCCAGTCTTTGCAACCATCTGGAGATAAATTTGCAGCCGTCAGTTTGACATGAGTGCGTACCACATGCTAATGCCTTTTTCTAACTTAATTAATGCAACACAAGCAAATAACAGCAGGCTTCTCCAAATGTCTCCCCACACACACTCCTGCAGGTGGTGTGCTCGTTGAACAAAAACACTGAGGTCTGCATGCAAAGGTTTTTTATTTATTATTAATATTCTCCAGCTGTGCTTTAATTGCAGTATGACAAACTGTAACTGGAGGAGCATATAGCATGTACTAGAAGGTACATATCTGTTATCTAAACCAAAGTACTTAAAATTAAAATTGTTGGAAAACAACCAAAGATGTAAGACACCAACCGGAGGTAGTCCTGCTGCTAGATCGATCTTTCTTTGTGGTGGACCTGCAGATGGGAAATGAAGAACCTCCCAGGTATCCGGCTTGGCGCTGATAGTCTGCCAGTTGCTCTGAGCGCCTCAGGCCAGGTGTGGGCTTCACAGACTCCAGCCTCTTCAGGAAAGCCTGAGAGGAATAGAAAGATTCTTACCTCATTAATACTCCAAAAATACTGTAAAAGTAAACTGTTCCCCCACCACTATGGGAGGTAACTACATTTCAAACTCAAATTTTGGTACTGGACCAAAGGTACTGACAGAAAAAAGTACACACAGTTTGTAATATTGTATGTGATATAGACCAATGATGCCAAATATACGTCCCATCAGGCCCACTGATGTTTAGTGTAATCAACTTGTGAAGGTTTTTGTTTGTTTTTTGTTGTTGTTTTTTTAAACATTAAGTCAGTGAGATTGTTTCTTTGAAGTGCTTAACAAAAGTATTAGACCACCACCCAATGTTAGGGTTATGCCAAAGCTGCCTGAAATTAACTACTGAATTGGCAAAAATAATTTTTTTTATGTTTAGGTAATGGTTAAATCAACATCAAGCTGGTGTGCAAGCTCTTTAATTAAAATAACATTTTTAAGTCTAAAATATAATAATTATTTTTCATGAACTTTTAAATTTACCATTTTACAAAAAAGCTGAAACAAATAGTAAAGTACATGATTATTTTTTCATTAACAAGCTAAATTACCATTTGTTTGGGTTTTTTTTTTTTGCAATACTCAGCAGAAAAAGTTGAATATTAGGCTTGATTCATTTCAGACTTCTTTGAGAAGTCTAGTCTGCTGTTTCTGTATTAAACATTAATTCAGTGAATTGAGCAATTTTAAGTTTTAAACAGGTTTTCGACAGATTTCTAAAATATTTGTGTTCTTTGTTTTTAGGTGGTCAAACAGTTTAAGTGCTGTATGTCCACTTTAGATGAAACCGGGGTGACACTCTTGAGCTAACCCATATGGAAAAGATATATATAAATCTCACAAAGTTTGTATCTGTCTTGTGTGAAACTTGTATGAAAAGCATATAAGTGTGAAAACAGATATAAAATCCCTTGAAAAATTATATAATGAAACTTGTATGTTTTGGATACTTACTAAAACAATGTATGAAAGTAATGCGAAAGTGGCCACTTTCATGAGTAATCACATATAAGTTTTTACTATTTCTTTTCCGTATGGGAAACTACACAGCACAGTTACAGTAAATATAGATAAAACAACCTGAAATGAACACCGTGCAAAAGAAATATATGGTAAGAGTTTATTTTTTTAAATATTTTTTTAAATATTACTTTTTTATTATTTGATTTGACTGGTTTGATTATATTCATTCTTGCTCTTGGCTAGAATGAATACATAAAAAAACAGCACATACACTAAAATGTATTTTAAAACAATCTACCTCTTAAAAATAAGTCACTATTTTATTAAATAAGTCAAACTTACCAGTCAACAATTTACCAACTGCTGTGCACCAGGACTTTGCGAAAGGTACACAGCAACCCCAACAAAACAGCATGAAGCAAATCAGTGTAGACAAGTGGCTAAATGTCAGGCATGCACTCCCACACGCAGGGTCTGCTGTAATCTCTCAGTGAACAAAAGCTCCATATGAAGCAGTGTGATGAGGAAAAAGCTCAAGCATCACCAGACCTTCGTGCTGAAGATCAAAAGTCTTTCAGAGGGCATGAAAAGGCACTGCAGGCTTCTAAATACAGCCAGAATTACCACCTACTATATTTTTAATGTTTGCATTACAGGAGACATCTTCAATGAAAATGTACCCATTGTATTATCATTATTATTATTATTGTTATTATTAGTGTATATAATTTCTTTGAAAGAATACTATGTGTAGAGGGTAAACTAGCACTTGAAATACACAGAAGTGGTACTACTTGTGGTTGCCAGAGGTGTCTTACATGTGTGATGTGTGGGGTGTATACACTGATCACACGGGCAGATTCAATTACTAATCTCTAAGAATAGAGAAGGCGAAAAGCACTCCTGACGCAGAGAGATGGGCTCAAGAGAGAGGACAGTCTGTTCTTAAAACCATAGAAACATTCTGGCTTATAGCAGCAACATTAGGGATCAATTTAAAATATCTAATCATTATTACAGGAACACATGAGTAGAAAAGAAGTCAGGTTTTCACTTAGTAACACCAGTGCCTTGGCTGGCTACCAATAATTAATATGTCTTTAATTCCCCATCTCCTCTTTTGAAACTGTGCTGCATGTAGACATAAAAAATGTTGCCAAGATAAGTCAATATATGGGATGAGAGACTAAAGCTGCAGAGACTGAACTCTGTCAAATGTCAGTCTGCGGCACTGCTGCTGGCTGCCACCTGCTGCCATCTGTCCAAGTCTTTCCATGTACGTTTGCAGAGGTGGCACTCTTGGACTGACGCTAAACTCAAATCAAAACATCTCTATTCTTTATTCTCTCTATTCTGTTTTCTACTTAAAGTATTTATGAGGAAACTTCATTTTTTTTTTCATAAAATGTTTTCTTTATGTTTCTTCAATAGTTTACTAAAGGCAACGTAAAAAACATTTAAAAAAAGAGTAAATAATTAAAAAGTAGGATGCAATACAGTAACATGTGGACTGGTTTTCAAGGAAGTTACCAACTTGAGTAACAAGTCTAGTGGGAAAAGTCAACTTCTATAGTTACATGTTGTATTTACAGTCTCTTTAAGAATTTAAAATACAGTAAGAAAAGATTGTTTTTAGAACAGGAACCCAAAAAGACTTATTTAGACGTCCCCTAACAAAAAATAATGCCACTTTGACCCTATCTAGCAAACTAAAAGTCATTTTTATTCTATTAATTTCACACCTATAGACGTTTAGGTTCAACAAGAAAAGAAATATAATTATTACATTTGAATTATGAAACCTCAAAACCAGTCCTAAGGTTTCTGTTTGGGACTTTTCTGACTTACATCTTAACTTTTGAGTGATTTACATATTATTAACCTACACGATCTCTCGCAGAGTGACAAGCCTGTTCACAGCAACATTAAATCTCTCTGCTCTTTTTGATATCCACTCATGTTAATAATTATCTTTCTTAGTTTTGAGAACTTCTGTTAGGGGTGTTGTTCTTTACAGTCTTTCTCCTCAAAACCATATTGAAGAAAGTTGCTTTCAACCATAAGCATTTTGAGATATTTGAAAAACTAGATAAGAAAATACATTTTCTTATCTTTTCTAAAAATTTGTTGAAGAAAAACAAACATGAAAGCAATATAACAATGCTATTATAGCAGCTAATGCTGCTGTGCAATTGAAAGTCAATTCAAAAATATGTTACACTAGCAAAAGTTGATTGAGAGGGAAGAACAGTTAGATGTACCCCGCCTCTCGCCCTATGACAGCTGGGATAGGCCC